TCAATTTCCTTTTTCCAGCCACTTGTTGCTATTTGTCCCAACTTTTTAGGGATTTGTTGACACTGTGAAATTTTGAATCAACATATTTCCTTTAAAATGTTACATTTACTCAGATTAAACTTTTGATCTGTCATCTATGTTATATTACAAATAAAATATTGACATTTGCCATCTCCACATCATTGCATTCAGTTTTTATTCACAATTTGTTTAGTGTCCCAACTTTTTTGGAATCTGGTTTATATTTAATATATAAGCTTATCTTAAAAGATATTGTGGTAGAAGAGTTTGTTTGGCTTTCTTAGTTTAAGTTGAAGGAAGAGCAAGACTCTTTTCAGGTGGATAATAGGTGGATGCCTTTCTAGGCCGTCTCCAATAAATGAAAAATAAAAAAATGACATGGCGTAAAAACTGAGTTCTGGGAAATGTCAGATCTAATTGAATCACAAGACTCAATACACATGTTGAACTGAATATCTTACAGGTTGCTGGTACATCAATCAGTTCACAAAAGTATAGTTTGAGATTAAAACCCTGGATAAGGAGATTTTTCTTTACCTTTTAAAAAATGTTGTAAAAATCTCACTGGTGTATCCGATGTGCTGAACAAGAAAAGCACTGTAACTACTTATGGAACTTGCAACAAATATTCTGAGATTCTTGTATTTCTTTATTTTTCCTTATGAAAGATGAGTAAATATAATAACGGGTGATCGTTAGAGGACTCAACTTTTAAATCCCAACATAAATTCAACATCCACCCAGGTAGAAGATAAAGTTGAGGGTTTACATTGGGGTTCCATTATTGTTCCAAATAAAAAGTTGGAGCTGTTGTTTTGGCTGTTATCAGTCAGTGCAAAATGAATATCTCTTTTTTTATCCCCTCTGTTGTGTTCTTTTACAATTCCTGAGTTAAACACTGGAGCTGTCTAGTTGCAGCTGTCAGCCCCTGAATGTTAAATTCCAATCTATGAAATAAAAAATGAAACCACTGCTGAACTGAGATTACCTTTGGTAAGAAATAAATTCAGCCTTACATCTGACTCTCTCTAAACAGCAGCGTTAATGTTTGATCTATCAAAAGGCCTAAAGCTGGAGTTTTCATTGGTGATGCTTTGAAACAGCACAAGGTGCAGATATTTGTTGTCCCTGTTTAATCCCAGAGAATGTTTCCTGAAATAACAACAGTCCTTGTTCAAAAATTATTTCTGTTTCGGGCGTTACTCGCATCGACGCCAACTTTTAGCTTCAGGTCAGCTGTTTGTTTTGATTCCTGTTCCATTTTGAACTGGGAAAGATTCCTTTAGCGTCTGCTTCTTCATGCAGGAAGCATAAAATGCTGTGTTGCAACCTCTTTTGCAGATTTGGTGATGGCTACACGGTGATCGTACGGGTCGCCGGTTCTCCTCCTGAGCTTAAGCCAGTCGAGGACTTTGTCCAGCAGACGTTCCCAGGCAGTGTTCTCAAGGAGAGTCACCACAACACCCTCCAGTACCAGCTTCCACACGCACCAGGAGCTCTCGCCAACATCTTTGGCCACTTCACCAGTCACCAGCAGAGGCTTGGTTTGGAGGACTACTCTGTGTCCCAAACTACTCTGGATCAGGTGAGACCACTGAATTCATGTTGGAGCTTGTTTTTCTGACTTAGGGCTACCAATGTTTTTATGTAGCATTTTATCCAAAATGGAGAGCAGTAAAAAAATACGTTTGTTTTCACAAGAATTTCCTTAAAGTCTTTCAAAGAGGATCACAGCAGATTGTGTAAAATAAACTAAATCTTGGACTGAAACATTAATTCACAAACTTAGCCTCAATAAGAAGCCTCGTACTTCAACCCCCAACTGGGAAGTACAGTACACGAAGAGAGAATGGCTTCTAAAGACAAGTACACTTTGAAGGTTTTACATTATGTCTACATGTGTTTTGGTAAGAAAACACTGCTCTGGAAGGCTGCCAATTTCTGGCATGTTGATTATTTTTTTACTTTCTATTTTACTTGAGTTTTTAATGCTGAAACTTCCATCCATCCGTCATATTTTACTTGCTTTGTCCTTTTCGGGTCACTGATGCCTGAACATGATTTATTAAAAAAGGAAATTCTTGAGCCTCGTCTTAAAAGTAGACCAGGTTTCAGTCTCATGGACAGAAACTGGAAGCTGGTTCCATAAGAGAGGAACCTGAGAACTCAAAGGTCTGCCCCCCTTTCTACTTTTACGGATGGTGAAGATGTTGGAGTGGGGGAAAACAATTCTCTGGATACAGAACTCATCTGTGGGAGCCACAATTCTGTCCGAGTTGAAGGGAATTAAAAACTCATGTCCCTCGATGGTTGGTATATCAGTACCTAACTTTAATGTTATGTGGGTCTTCTCTGGATTTTTTTGTGGAGATTCTGTCTCGCTCTCTTAAGAAACATCTAGTATTAAAAAGAGAGACTGCATATCTTGTAAGTGGACAAACTTACAAAATCAGCAGGGAATTAGCAAATTATATCTCTCACTGCATACGTACTGTAAAAATCTGCCATATTTGGCACATTTTAAACTCCATCTCTTAGAGCGCTGTTTGTCTGGTGAAGGCCCCACTTGCTCCAGACCGTCTTCACCTTTTGTTTTCTTTACAGCCCCAGAGATCTGATACAATAAGGCAGTGAGTGCCGAGTGCAGGTGTGTCTAGTCTTACAAGCTTTCTATTAGCTCAGCAGCAGATGACCAGGCGGGAGGCGAGCGTGACCTCTCCTAGCTGTAGAAAGGTCATGAGTCCCCCCCACATTGATGGTTGTGGTGGGGGGAAGAAAACACACACATACACATGAGCCATGTCTCATAAAGAACGCAGCAGTGCCACCAGTGCCATAACCTTATATGAATACCCCACAAATCAATATAAAAGCATCTTAAACAGCAATATTCACATTAAGACTTTTAGAGGTCACATTTTAAAGTACGTAACATCATTTAATTAATAGAAACAATGAGGAATTTTAACCAAATGTCCTTTGTAGGTGTCCAAATATACTAGTACTTCCCACCATGAATATGCCTTTTTTAAACTTTGGGGTCAACACTGTCCTACATTCTACACTGGTCAATATTTACCAAATCAGAGGCAGTTAATAAATCATACTTAGACCAGGAGGTCATGGTATTAAAACATAAACGGCCCAGACCCAAGAACCTATGGAGACCCAGACGGTCACCTTTCAGCTGGTGATTGATAGAGAAGAGCCTTGACCTACAGAATAACACCCAACTTGCACTATGATTAATATTGATTGACACAGTTTGGAGCTCAGGCGTTGATGCCCGTCGTCCAGACCAGGCAGAGGAGATTTAAAAACAAAAGAAGTGACTTCTTAAGCCATCTTTATGTGCACAATGTGTGCTCAAAGTGTTTGCTTCTTACTGTTTGGACAGTGGTTTATAACCAACGCAACAATAAGGCAAAAAGCTTTACTGCTGTAAAGTACTGTATTTTAATAACTGGGCTGTCTTTAATAGTTAATGGCAGCCTTTTAAACAAAGATCTTTCAATGTCTGTTCTTGTTGGAGTAACCACTATTCTACCTTTCACCTTTGGATGGCAGGTGATAAATATACAGTTCTACAGTTTCTGGTCCACTTCTATGGACCAGTAAATAGTTACAGGTAAGTATATACGCTGACGAAACAGTTAGCACATAAAATATTTTCTCTGATTTGATGCACATAAAAAGAATTGCAACAAAAGGGTAGCCAGCAACCTTTTTCTTTTTACTTGTTTAAGATGAGGCTGATATGCGTTCATTACTTCCTGTTTGTAAGAGAGGAAGAGGATGCTCTTCAGATAGACTTAAAATGAATATGAATGACGCATAATCTGAATATTGCTGAAGCTCTGAGACACTCAGAAGGTGTAGGTACAGATCAGGATGAACCAGAGCTACTTACCAACCATCTACGAAGTCCAAAGAAGGAGAAATGGTCACCTAATAAATCTTGGATGTAACTATAACAAAATATAAAGAGAAAACCTCAAATTCTACACTAATTTTTTTTCTTCTCTAACACAAATGACTAAATAATTGACATAAATATATAAAACATTTAGTACAATAGCTAAACATGAGTATGTGAATGATGTGGATTGTATTAAAATAAAATCCAGCTAACAGTTTGCAAGGAGTGTTATGATATAAAACAGAGGTTAATTGCGTAAATCGCATCCTTCCCCTCCTGTTTTCTGCTTCAGCAGCCACCAAATCAACGCACATATTTAGTCTCTGTAATGTAATTAATGCCTGTATCCATCTGTTATTAAGAAAATGCCACTCAGCAGCACTGGAGCATAACGTTCCCGTTCTGACTGGATGGTTGGCTAAATGCAGAAAGTGAAGACGAGGAAACAATCGCACCTCGCAGTGCAGGTCGACTTTACCTCGGCTCCTCCGGTCAAAAACATTGAGGCTCTTTCAAAGTGCGAGTTTCATGGAAAGTTCAGCACAAACAGTACTTAGAAATTCTGCTGAGGACCCCGACAGCCTTGACTGTGAATATTTAATGCTGCGCATGCCTCGGCATATCAAGCCAATATCAGCCGGTGGCAGGGTCAGAGGCTGGGAGAGATGGGCGGACGGTTTATTTGTTGCTACTGTCATTCTTATCCTCTTACTCACTCTCCCCTGACAAGATGCTTTGACAACGCTGACCTTGATTCATTCTGCTGATGGTGTGACATTACGCACGCAAGGATATTTTAGCCCCTTGGTGTTCTGCAGGCCAAGTTTGTTTCTCACTTACAAGATGGCCTTAAATGCCTGCATCCACATTTTGTGGAATTGTATTTTAAGTAATGGGATAGATAATATAACTTAAAATAACTTGTGTAATAAGTAAGATGTGGAACGGTGCCTTAGTTGGTAGAGCTGTTGCCTTTCAGCGAGAAGGTCACCAGATCAAATCCCGCCCTGGGGCCTTTCTGGGTGTTCTTTCCGTGCACGCATGGGTTTTCTCCAGGTACTCCGGTTTCCTCCCACAGACCAAAAACATGCATGTTAGGTTGATTGGTAACTCTAAATTGTCCCTAGGTGTGAATGAGAGAGTGAATGGTTGTTTGTCTCTATGTGTCCCTGTGATGGACTGGAGACCTGTCCAGGGTGTACCCCCGCCCCTTGCACAGTGACCGCTGGACATGGGCACCGGCGACCCCCGTGACCCAAAATGGAAGAAGCGGGTAAAAGATAATGGATGCAATATCCATTTGGTGACTTGTTAATAAACATAGATCTTATATCTTCCTTTCATTACGTTTTTAAAACTATCACGTCAAACTGATTTGCTTTCAAAAGCAGTAAAAGCTTAATAAAAAAGAAAATGGTGGGTGAGTGGGGAGGGGTGTTGGGTTTGGCCCTCTTATTACCAGTAATTCGTTGGGTCCGGGTAGGGCTAAAACAACAACTACGGGCTCGGTCCAGTCTGGGCTGAATTTATTAGGCCTGAATGCAACTCTAGTGGGAAGAACTTTCTATTACATATACTGTAAAATACATTAACGTGCATTACTGTTCATTGGTCAATGAAAATCGTTTTCAATGGGGTTTTGTTTCTCACATGATCTGAGCTTCACATAAAGAGAAGAACATTTTAACCTAATGGAAAACTTGTGCGTTCATTGGTTAATTTAGGTCCTGTTGTGTGTTTATTTGCCATTAACAAAAGGCATTTGTAACCATAAGAAAAATTTAATTGATAAAGTCTGAGTAGGTTCTGATGGAATTGGTCTGGATGACTTTACGACATTTTAAACGAAACTCTCATAAATCACATATGTTTGCTTTCACACAGCCAGTGAAACCAGTCTAATGAAAAAGCAATGCTCTTATCATTTTATATGATCCTCTTTGCTGCTTTTTCTCAGCGGGGTAAACTTTTTTTTTTTTTTGCATCGCTTTATCACTAATGCACTCCGCTGGTGTTTACAGCACAATGAAATGCAGACAGCTTTTTTATGAAAGCCAGCCGATTGATTTTTGTCTTGTATTAAATGGGCATCACAGAGAGGAAAATGATTGTTTTATTCTCTTTCTCAGCTGGTCAAAGATGTCAAACTGACATTCACTGTGGGAGTCCCGGGGCTTACTTGATGCCTCGTATGTTTTTGTACACCAACTCGTTCACCCCGTAGGCTGTTTGACTATTACTATTTATTTTAAAAGAAGAAAACGACGGTGAGAACGACTATGAGATTCAGTTTTATCTTGACTTTTTTGTTTTTTACATTGTAGGTCTTTGTGAATTTTGCGAGTCACCAGCATGATGAGGACGACTCTCGGGCCTACAGCAACCCGGTGGACATTTCCGATGAACTGCCACTCAATGCAGTGCAGACCTCCAATGAAGCTAAGACGGTTTAAAGAAAGAAAAAATATGGTTTACATGTCGATATGTTTAATAAGTACCTTATACTGGAAGCAATAATGTATTCTTTATGGCATTTATTTTAGTTTTTCACGTGGTGATTTCAATATTTTGCACTTTTTTTTCCTCAAAAGCCATGTCATATTATCAAATAGACATTTTCAACAATGCTGGGTAAATATTAGCATTTTATTTTCTTTCTAGTCAAGATTAGTACGATTTTTTTTTAATGGGGAAGTGTGAACTGATGAGTTGCCAGTGTATCTGCAGTAAAAAGCATTCAGCACACTCTTAATTCAGAACGTCAGACTCATGACAGACGAGCTAATCAATATTAAAAATGTAATGAACAGATAAGCAAAAGTCTTGAATCATCCCTCATTTGATACATTTTTATTTAAAGACCCAGACGTCCTTGTCAACTTTCAAAGTGGTTGTGATCAATGTTTCTCCCAAGTTTTCTGAAGGGCTTTCAAAGTTCCTCGTTAGACTTTGTTTTTTGTTCAGTTCTTCAAATTTTCATTTTCACACAGTGTTTACTTGTTATAACATTCAATTCTCTATGAATCATTTGCACATTTGACTTTTAAATTCAAAATAAATAGGGTTTGAGTCAACATGTTACAGAAAATTCAGCACAGAACTAATTTTAATTGGGATGTTTTTCCAGTAACTAGCTAAATTGCTAGCAAGCTAACTAACCATTAACTGACAAGTAACGTTATCACTAGTAGGCTTTTACAAAAGTCACAACTTAATATACAGTAGTCCCTCGTTTATAGCGGGAGGGTTCGTTCTCAGCCCCCCACCCCCGCGCGATAAGTGAAAAACCGTGAAGTAGGAATATTAGTACAATTAGTAATTTTAGTATTTATATATATTAAGGCATTTTAAACCCTTCCCACACTCTTGCAATATTTTAAACAATGTTTCTAAACTCTAAAAGAGTACAGAGTGTCATGATTTCAGATCTCTGCCACCTGCCAGTGCTCTCAGCCACGCCCACTTGTACGCTGTGCGACAGGTGCTAAATAATTAAAAATTGTTCATTTTAAATTAAAACAATCCATGACACTCTTGCGGCTCATCCATCAATCAGCCAGTTGTGTCATTTACAATATTACTTTGAAAAACCACGAAAGAGCGAGTCCGTGAAAGTCTAACTGCGAAGTAGCGAGGGACTACTGTAACTGTTTTGTTAAATGTATAAACATTTTATGTTTATTTTTATAACTATGACAACCAAGTTTGACAAACAAAATACTATTTTAGCTCCAATGAGAAAATTTTCAAAGAGTTGTTTGTTAGCTACTGTACCTGTTTCTAGCTCGCTAACACTGAAGTTTTAAATATTGGAACCTTGCATTTCTGTCTGAACTGATAAAGCTCCTCAGATGAGGTGCAAAACGTTGTTTAAAAAAATATATATCGAGTCAACATATAAAAGAAAACATTTTTTAAAAACGCCTCAAAATACCTCTTCTTTTCTAGAAAGCCAAACCACGTTACAGCTAGCTGACAGCTAGCAAGTTACCAGCAGTCGATCATTAAAACACCTTCTTGCTCCTTGTTTAAAAATGCTCATTGATAACACTTTATAAAATTATATTGTAACATCTAAAAGGTGATTTCTAAAAAGCTATTAAATAAAAACGTAGATTAACTGTACGAAGGTGCTTCAGTCAGGTCCAACGTCAGGCCTTTATCATGTTTTTTTTCTTCCTTCCAATTTCCTAAACACCTGATTCATAGACAATCTAGATATTTAGTTTTAGACCCAACATCTTTTTTTTTTTTTTTGTCTTTTAATTGAACTATTTCCTTGTTTGTTCTGCTCACTGCACAAGATGTGTTCATGTGCAGGTACAAAGACTGGACAAAAAGTATGTGAAAAGCTGCCAAAGTCCAAAGAAACGTTTTAAACAGAAAATCTGAGAAATCTTTTAAGACCATTTTAAAAGATTACAAGAAAGTCTCTTACCCTGGAAGCAAAGTAAAAAAAAAAAAAAAAAACTACTCATCTCAAATTTCTTCACCATCTGAGTTGATGTTTTGTGAATTTTATTCAACCAGTTATTGTAGCAGGGGGTTACAGACTCAAATGTCTGTGCTGCGACGCGATCCATGGTTAATGCAGCATAATGCAGGCCCGCATGATAAAACAGAACCAATCCACAGAACTGTACGGTTCTGTTGCTCAGGTTCTGAGCAGCGGTCTTTGCTTTGTGAACGAGGAATCCTCCCTGCAGTAAAACACTGAAGGCTCTAAGAACTTCACACTGCCCCACTTAAAAAAAAAGGGACAAACATTTTTAAGCATCTCCGCCTATTTAAAAATGTAACTTAAAAACGTCTACTTGGTAATTTATTTATGTATGGAAATTCAACTCAATTAGTGTGAGTGTGCTGCAGAACTTTTTCAAGCGCTTTTTTTTAAATCGTGTCCCAATACAAGAAATTATAAGACCAGTTGCTGCTAGACTATAAAAGCACTTTAAATAATATATTATTACTAAATAAATCCATTTGAAACTTAAAATAGACTGGATTTTGCATGTTTAGCACAAAGCTGCTGCCAAAAATGACTTGAATTGAGGTTTCTGCTGCGTCCTAACACATGGTGGAAAGCCTTATTTCACACAAGTTTAAAATATTTAAATACCACTCATTTCATTTTGTTTTTGAGACATCTTGCTGACTAAGGTATATTTCAGGGATACATTGTTTCACATATTGCACAGCACATACCTCAATCTTTAAAAAAAATTTTTTTTGTAAAGTTTTTATCAGCTGTTTACATTCATGCTTGATTCTGTTGGTAAAACAACAACAAGGAAAGGTTTTGGCACCGCTGTGCTAACGGACATTAGACAGCAGTTGGCATATCTTTGCCGACAGACACGACAACAATAGTTAGACTCTGAGATGTGCTGGATGTCTGAAGCAGCCTCGAACTGACTGTAGACGTTGTTCAGTGACAGGTTCTGAGGTCACCGTAAAGTCAGCCAGCTGCCCAACGTGTCCTGTTCTGTACGGGGAGATGTGTGTACTTTATGAAGCTTACAGCCTTTCTGATGCAGCACTGAAAAGTGAAAACCTAACAGGAATATTTCTGGGATTTTACTTACTTTTTACAGATACTATAGACCTACTTTATTATATATTTCACTATCAACATCTAAAACTGAAGAAAAAAAAAATCTTCACAGTGACCAAGTTTGTTGGTGTTAATTAAGTTTGAAACCCACTCACGTAAAGCTGGAATGTAAATAGTGTAATTAGTCATTGGTACAGTCCCATCGTCTCACTGTGAACACACAGAACCCTATAACCATACAACACTGCCTGTTTGCTTAAAATGTTTTCCATATGACCTTTAAAAATCTATTAAGTTGATTAAAGGAATAGTTCAGATCGTACCGAGCTAATGGCTAGTTGTAAAACCAAAACTGAACCATGTATCCCTACAACTATAAGTAGTAATGACCTCATGAGATTCTTTATAAATTAAATTATTTCAATTAGGGAGAAAATTCAAACCATCATTCCTACTATTGCCTCTGGTTCCATGTCAAATGAGGCAACTTTAAAAATCTCACTAGAACTTGATTTATGTTTGAACTGTTTTTGTCCTGTTGAGCTCTCTGAATTGTCAAAAATAATAGCTTCATCCAAACCATCCACATGTTTGCTAGATCCCATCCCAACCAGGCTATTTAAAGAGGTAGTTCCCTTAATTAATAACCACATTTTGGATCTACTTAATTGATCTCTAATGAATGGTTGCATACCACAGAGTTATAAGATTACTGTAATTAAACCTTTACTTAAGAAATGTAATCTTGACTCAGGAATCCTGGTCAATTATAGACCTATAACTAATCTGACTTTCATCTAAAAAAAAATTGTAGAGAAAATAGTTGCAGGTCATTTGCATGAACATCTGAAAAGAAACCAAAACCAAAGTGGATTGCTGCCATCCAGTGGCAGAGCTAGACTTTTATGCAATGAGTGGGGCACAAGGCTTTTTCACAGGGGCACACATAAGAGACAGTTTTCTGTTTCTTGAACCTGGTACCTAAGGAACATCATTTGTTAACAATTTTCATAAGCCATATCGCATATTTAGCAATTTCAGACTCTCGTTTACACACGCACTCGTGTTATCATTGCGGTCATCATCAAGGTGTGAATCACCCTCTTTGTATCAACAATGACTCCCAAATTGAAAATACTTTCAGAAAACTCTTGCATACATGAAATATAAGAGTGTAAAACACTGGAGATCTTATTTAATAAAAAAAATACACAACACAATTTTAAGTATCCTGATGCATGTTCCAGGTAGAAAAATCTAATCAAGATTTGTTAGATAATTTGAAGTATTTGTATCTTTACAAAAAACATTTATACAAACCAGTAGTTATGTGTCCTCTTAGGCTAATTTCACATCTTTCAGAGCCTCATCTAGTGACCTGTCAAGCAACTAAGGTGTCACCTGGGGTGGCCAATCAACTTCCACCCCAGCCACCCCTCTGGCTCCGCTCCTGCTGCCATCTTAAAATGACTCCATCCATTCTCAAAATATATTTGCTTCTATGTCTGCATTGACATCAACTTCACATTAGACAGTTGTGACACTGTCAGTTTTAATTTTGTAGCTATATTCAAGCAGAGCAAGAAGCAGTAGCAGCTAGCTGTAGCCCTTCCAGTGCAGTTTGGGACATTATGTAGGAATAACGTAGTATTTCTGTCAGATTATTCGTGTAATACAAAACTGACTGCAGTGTTAAAGGTAGTCAAGAAAGCGTTTGCACAAACCCCTTGAAATCCAAGAGGTTTTATGACAGCAGCGCTGCACTCAGACTAGCCATTAGCTCGTCAATCTGGTCAAAATTAACCCCTATTTCCATTTCTGCTCACTTATTCTTCATAACCTTTCCACTTAACCTTTCTTAAAAAGGTATGGATTATTTTTTTTCTGTGACTATGATTG